CTTTGCTAAGTTTTGTACTTGCTTGGAACCCATCATCCCTTCCTTCTTTCCAATTTCTCCCTTCTAGAATGGGAATGTCTATTCCATGCCTGTTTCAACATTGTGTTTTGGAAGCACATAACTTGTTGAGTCCACTCATTCACAAATGAAGAGCAATTTTGCTTCAGGATGTCTTACTCATATCTGATTTAAAATGATATTTAGATGATATTTTGAATTTAAGACTTCAGAGTTAATGTGGGAATGAGTTAAGACTTTGGGGGATTTTTTTTGGTTGAAATGAACTTATTTTGCATATGAGAAGGACATGAACTTTGATGGGACAGAGTCAGATTGTCATGAACTAAACTTGTGTCTCTCTAAATTCACATATTGATAGACTAACCCACAATATGATGGCTGTAAAAGGTGTTAATTAATTAATTGGATTAAGAAAGGAAACCCAGAGAGCTCTCTTGCTTCATTTTCTGTCATATAAGGACATAATGAGAAGCCAACTATCCATGAACCAGGAAATGGGCCCTGAGCAGACATAAAATCTGCCAGTGCCTTGATCTTGGTCTCCCTAGCCTCTAGGCATATGAGAAATAAATGTTGTTTAAGCCATACAGTTTATGTTATTTTTGTTATAGCAGTTGGAACTGCCTAACACATTGCTGATCTATGACAGCTAAGGCTGTTTTCCCAATTTCCTTAATCCCTTTCAGAATAATCCAGAACTTAGTTATGTATATTAATTATTTGCATAATTCTTAAATGAGATTATGGTAGTTCAGCTGTTTTGCAAACTCTAAAATACTATCCAAATATGAGGATCTGGTAATATTACATGTCTTAAAAGTGCATAAAAGTCTCAGGTGAAACATCCCATAAACCACAAAATTTTCTAAAGATGTGACTCCTTAAAGAATCTTGTTTGGAATTGCTTACATGATGAAAGGTTCAGTTTAGATAAAACCAAATCAGTGGTTTGTGCTGTAATGTGAACTCAACTGCTCAGTTTCATCAAGATTTGGGTAACTACAGAAGACTGTTAGGGCCTCTTTGGTTGGTCATTGATAAGGTAACCATATTGTCCACGTCAGGGCACTTTCAACAGTGAAAGGGGACAAGTGTAAACCGAATTCATCCTGGGCAAACCACTAGGCATGGAGACACTGAGCTAAAGCATCTTTTATTCTCTTTGAATCTATTTGTTGATTTGCACAGTTCAGTTTTTATCATAGTATTCTTATTCCATAATCACAAAGGATGGGGATTAGAGGAGTGAAAGAAGAATGTTATTTAGGCAGAATTGAAGATGTCTTTCCAAGAGCATAGATTAAGAATTATAAGAGCTAAGATCTCAATATTGCCACAATCATCTGTGATTTCAGGCAAGACATCTGAAATCTCTGAGGCTTAGTTTTCCCATCTGCTTAGTCAAATCTTGGAATCATATGTTTTACAAATTGAAAGAAATGCTGGAGTTCATTTAGTTTGTGCACCTGAAAATTAATTTTCTATACAATATGCTGACAAGCAGTTGTATAAATAGTTTTTATAATATATTCAATGATAGGAAACTTTCTCCCTCAAGAGGCAGCCAATGCCATTGCTGTAGCTAGCCATTATTGTTCAGACGTTCTTTCATTCTTTCTTCTACTTAGGCCAAAGCCTTTAAAATACACTGCAAGATTTAAGGCTTTAGGAGCATTGAATGGACTCCTTTTTTTTTTTTTTTGGTGATGATTGAACCCCAGGCCTTCTACATGCAAGGCAAGCACTCTACCAACTGAGCTATATCCCCAGCCCTTGAATGGAGGCTTTTGCAAGAAACATCTCCTTGTTGTTGGAAGGGCTCAAATAAAGGCTTCGTGACTCATGATCTCTAGGTGCTCTAGGATCTAGAATCTAAATGAATTTTATGGTCCATTTTTGCTTCCTTAATCAGTGGTTACATGAAAGTTCATTAAAAAGAATTAACCTTTACATCAAGCCTTCTGAACAGCTCCTTATTTCCAATTTTTCCTTTCTATTCTTTTTTAAAATTCTGTAGCCTCAAACCTTTCATCTACATATGACTCCTCTCTCTCCTTTGTCTCTTTCTCTTTCTTTCTTTCTTTCTTTCTTTCTTTCTTTCTTTCTTTCTTTCTTTCTTTCTTTCTTTCTTTCTTTCTTTCTTTCTTTCTTTCTCTCTTCTCTTCTCTTTTTCTTTTGCAGTGCTGGGGATTGAACCTAGGGTTTCTTGCATGCTCGACAAGTGCCCAACCACTGAGGTATATTCCCCTTTTGCCTTCATATGTAGGTTCTCCCCAGTTCCAAACTCAGTATCTAGTATTTGTTCTCACTTCCTTTTCTTATTATGGTGCTTAACTGTCTTGCCTGAATTAATATAGAGCTTCCTCTCTGAACTACTGGCCTCCATCTTTTCCCTTTCAAATCCATCCTGTGTTTCTAAACTGTCTCTCTGATCAGCTCTCTTCCCTTTTCACTTCCCCTTCACCTTAATTTTGATCATTGAAAATCTTCCCCACTCTTTATCATGGCATTGAAAAACCCTCCCCCATCAGGTCCAACTTATCTCTAGACATATTTCTTGCACTCACTTTCCTAAACTCTTCTAGTGAGATGAATCGCCCCTGTACTGTATTCCAAGAAAGTTCTGTTTTCTTGTTATTCAGTTTTTTATTATACAGTTCTTTATTATATAGTTCCCATGCTCAGGACTTCCCCTGCCCTAATCACTTGCACCAAAACAATCCTATCCATGTTTCAAGGTCAATCTCAAGTCTCTTCTCTTTTAAGTATTCCCAAATGACTCCAGCTGAATGCCTATACCATTTTATTTTCTGTATCATTCATCCAGCAGTCGATCATATGTTGCCTTATAAAATCTGAGGAAATTATTTACCTTAAGTAGTGTCATTTATTTTTTATGTATATCTTGTCTTATCAACTACCTCAATGTTCAGTGAGGCCAGGAGTTCAGTTTTTACCTTTTTTTCAACTCTATGGAACAGAACTGAGCACCTAGTAGAATCTGGCTCACTACTGTGTACTGACTAGTTTCCAATAGATTACCCAATCATATTGTCACTACTCTAATAGACCACTAAATCCATGATTAATCTTCCCTCACCACATTTGTCAGGCGCTGGTGGTGACAGAGGATAGAAGAGACTGTTAGAGATAAGGTGCATATGAGAGAAAGCGTATTTGTCCGTTTAAGCCTCGAGCAAGACAAATTGCTAAGATGCTGGTGGTGAGACATTTCTCTATCAGCTACTAGTGTTCCTTAATAGATTTAGGTCCCTGGGGCAGCTCACAGAAGTTGTGATTATAACCTGATACTCACAACTCTTCAAGAAAGTAAACAGGCAGATTATTTTTTTCCTTTCTGCTTTGTGCTATGTAGTCAATACCTAGGTGTTTAATTCAGTGGAATCAGGAATGACACATCAACTCTCTGGTGACTTTCTCTAGCATGTTTTGCATCCATGGACTAATAATTAAAATGCAAAATATCCTATGTGACCATTTATGCCAAATTTTAAATGTCACTTGATTTGTAAGAAACAATTGCTGTTTGAATAGAAGTAAGCCAAGGAAAGAAAAAGATTGTTCCACAGGGATAAGGATGGGACAGAAGCATAGAATTTATAGCTTTTCATGGCTACCTCTAATGTTGTGCCATAATGGCCTCACTGCCAGGGAGGGATATGCTTTTCCATCAGGAAGGGGAAAAGAAAATAACAAATGTATGAAATGCTGAGTCATATGAAGGACCATTATCAAATGCTAAGCAAAGGATCTCTTAATTAAGCACAACACATCATGGGCTTGGAAAAGGCTTTAATGACATGTGGAAAGGCCCCAGGTCAGCAAACTTGTCATGTTCCCTCATCACAGCCATAGGTATAAGAAGGTATATTTATAAGACTAAGTGGTCAAAACTCTAAGAAGCCCTGGGAGAATAAGGATAGATGGTTCTTCTTGATAGTATTATTTTTACTTCTAAAGGCCATTGTTACTAAACTACATTGCAAAATGCTTCATCTGAATTACCTGGAATAATCCTCTGCCCTTTGCTAGTTATTTAAGACATAGAGATCTTTTAAAGGATGTATTCATTTGTTGATCTCCAAGACCTTCAAAGAAGAATGTTGCTTTAATATGAACCATGTATCATTCCTTCTCCAAAACCTAGCTCCACTATTGTCCTCAGATACATTTATTCACTCAAAAATAATTATTAAGCCCCTGTCATGTGCCAGACATTGTTCTAAATAAATAAATGCCATGGATCCCTCCTTTCTTGGAACTCGCATAACTTATAACTATAGAGATCTAATAGAAGAACAGGCTAGGGGCATAGCCCAGAGTTTGAATTCTGTAGGAAGCAGTGGTGAAAGACTTGATATTGCCAAGGAGAGGAAGAACCCTAATAAGCTTTGGAGAAAACTGTGCCTTGCTCTTCCCTCTATGCTCATTTTATGATGAACAGAAAACAGACAGGAAGAATCCTATCCTGGTTAAGGACATAAACTTTGGGATGACACAACCTAGGTTCAAATCCTGATTTTACTACTGTGTAGTTTTCACCTCAGTCTGAGTCCTTCCTGATTCTGAGCTTCAATTCCTTTACCTGTTACTATAGTCATTCCGCAGATGCAACTCAAGACTTCCAATTGAAGCCTTCCTAACAGAAGGGCATCTAAGTTACTTGCACTTATACATCTTGAGTGCCTTGTTCATTGGGTAATACAGTGATATCTACATATCAAGTGCATGTGTGCCAAGGTATATAAACCATATATTTATCAGGGTCTGAATCTAAGTGACTTATTCCTTTTCAAGTATAGTTCTAAACAGGTTTCCTAAAGCTATCTGTTTGTACTTCCTGACTGAATACTCCGCTTCTATTATATTATTTCCCTGTTTAAAATGTGGATTAACCAATGCAATTACCTAAGCGTTTACCCATGACAGTTGTGTGGGTTTTCTACTATTTCCCTTACCTTATGAACTTCTCCTTGTTGGACGGTTTTTATGATGTTAATCCATTCTTCCATGTCTTTCCGGTTAGGTGCTGCCAGGGTGACTTTTCGTTCTGGTGTAATAACCTGAACAAAAAGTTACATTATTAGCTCATTCTTGGTCCACAACTTTTCCTCCACAACAATCTGTGAATAGTCTAAGGAACTAGCTAGATCTATCAAACATAACCCAAACCATTTCTTCAATATAACACATGATTTCCCAGGGTTACTCACAGCTCCTTATATACACACCCAAAATAATAACAATGGCAATAATAGTAATAGCTAACAATTTAATTATACTTCCTATGTACTAGGGACTCTTCTAAAGGACTCCACTACAGCCTTCACTACAACCCCATGACAGGTGTTGTTAATTTTCCTATTGCATCATCAGGAAAACTAAGCCAAAGAAAGATAAATGACTTTTCCAGGGTCACCTAGCAGGTAAAAAGCTAAGCTAGAATGGAAAGATAGTTTGTGGCTCCAGAATCCATGTTTTTTTTCAATACTGTAGATTCAGCTCAGAGATGCTCTATAACTGTGTCACATCCCAACCATTATCATTTTTTTTTAAATTTTAAGACATGGTCTCACTAAGATGCCCAGGATGTCCTTGAACTTGTGATCTTCCTGCCTCAGTCTCCTGAGTCACTGAGATTATTACTAAAGCCATGCATCATCTATTATTCAAGTGAGGTTGCCTGAAAACCCTATGTGCTTACTGCTGCTGTCTACTCAAAGTGGTAAAAGTGTACGCAATTCATTAGGTATACATCTTTCTGTTTGGGGGTACACCAAAATGAGATGTCCAAAAAATCCAGTTTCTTTCTTAGGGGCGAGAACAACCTGAAGAAAATTTTATAGCTGTCTCTCTTAATTTTGCCTGGTTCAAGAACCCTTCAGGAATAATAAGTAAGTCATGGTGAGGGTCTAGCAGATGTAGACCATGGGCATAACTTGACCTTTCCCCAGAGGAAAGTGGGAACATGGATAGTTATAGCATCAGTCATTGCTTCAAAGGCCTTATTTGCTTTGGCTATCAACACCTCAAATCTTAGAATTAGAGCTCATCACACCAACAAGCAATTTCCCTTTCCTTTTGTATGTAACACAGCATGATTGTTTGGCAGGTAGTTGTGATTGTGATCAGAGCCACTCCTTTGATCCAAACCTATTCTTCGTTGGGACTGATGTGCAGTGCCTCTGTGTTTACATTAGGCTAAGGAGCAGCCTTGCCTGAAGGATTTCTTTGTAGAATCAAGGCCAAAAACATTAACCTATTGACTCATTTGGGGACAAATCAGTAGAATGCCCAGATTTACCTTGGCCCAATGTGACATAATGTGAAAGAAACAAAGCTGGGTTTCTATGTTAGATCTATCTGCTCTCCTTTCAATAGAGGATGGAATGTGGACCAGCCATGGAAGAAGGGTATTAGGCCTATAGCTTTTTAGTCCACTAAATACCATCCCCTACCTGCTGCAGAGGATCAGCCACTGTTGAGATTGGGAAGAGATACTTTGGGGAGGAGGTGGGTAGGAAATTTCTGGGTCAATGAACTGGCTATTTTTCAGTGAGTTTTCTAGTCTGGGTTCATTTGAATGACAAAAGCCCCATGTGACATTTCAGGCATGCTAAGCCCTTAAACACTTCCTTAGAAAATCCTCTTTTTTTTTTTTCTTTGAGATGCTCTCATTAGTAATATCAGCATGGGGTAGATTTCACTTTGGATTTAGGTTCTTATCTATTTCATCAAAGGAGGGGATACCCTGTAACTGGATTATCCTGATATTTTTCTATGACATGTTGGTAGTCTCTTGAAACCCTCCCAATGATACTCTTATAAATCACTTTATCAGGAAGATTGACTGACTATTTTAATAGTCACACAATCTGAAATCAGCTTAGCTTTATAGTATGCTGATAATAGGGAAAAGGACTATCACTGTTTGGCCCCCAAACAGTGGGTTTGTAGGAAATGTTTGTATGAAAAATAACACTTCCATATCAAAGGAGCCTTGGGAAACCTAATGTCCAAAGAGGGAATGAGTGGGCATGGCGGCCCCTCTTTTCATCTAGCCCCCACCCCTGCTCATTCAGTCTTTCCCAATCATACTTACAGAAAAACTGTGGCAAAGATTTCTACAGCTGCTTTCTGCTAAGGTGACTTGAGACAGATCAATTGTTTCGAAGTGTACAAACTGGAAAGATATAAGAGGAAGAGGAACCATTTGTTCAATGACGCAAAGTGACATTAAAAGGTAAATAGACATACATATACATGCACACACACTGACAGGCATTTTTGGCAGTAATGATCCAATCACTCTTTTATCTTCAGGGCTGAAATTTATTTAACAAATGATTTTTGTAGATATGTCATATGACAAATAAAAAATAAATCAATCTAAACCAAAACACAACTTTTCCAAAATCATTTATGTGGATTTATAGGAAACTTGGGTTAGTGAGTCAGTCTACAGTTATTCAAATATAAAGATTAATGCTGGAGGAGATAATGGGATATCATCTGTTAGCGTACTAGTAGTACAGATTGTTATTAACATCTGTTCTATTGGGTGACAGCCTTTGACCACATTGCTTGTCCCATCCAGTTTGATCCTTATATCTCCTTGTACATTGGGCATAGTAGATACTACCCAGCCAGAAGCAGGAATCCAGTACTACTGACATATACAGGGATGACATCACCAATATGAAACCTGCGCAGTTACACAAGGCCCAATATTCAGAAGGGCCCCACACTTGGTTTCATGATCAGCTATCGCCATATTGAAATTTGCAATCATGTTATCTTTGAGTTTGTGTTTTGCATATAAGTTCATTGGAACAGTGAGCTGTGATATGAGCAGAAAATGTATGGAAAAAGACATCCACCCATTTGCATTTGTGATGTCCATAAGCATAGAATCACAGTGGACCCATCATATGTGGGTCTACAGTGAAACTTAAAGCAAATACCAGGTTAAGTGTGTTATATCCATGACTGAGTAAGCAGGGGAGCTGACAGCCCTGAGAGGCCACGTGTGCTGTTGGAAACAAAACTTGTTGCAATCATAGAAAAGAGGCAATGGTGTTCTGGAAAACGTGAACTATCAAGAACTCCTATCGTATTCTTTCTTACTTATGTTACTTCTCTATGTTAGCCAACAATTTATGCTTAAAAGGATGACATTGAAGGAAAGGGGAAAATTAAGCAAAGCATACATAGTTCTTTCAGTCAGAAAGTGTTGATAGAGTGTGCAAGTATTAAAAATTGAAAAAAAAAACAGTTGAGCTAGTATTGTACAGTTGTGTGTTCCGATAAGAACAAAATACATATGCATGTATGAGATACTAATACAAATTATATAATTCTAGTGATTATTTACAACATATTTGCATTTAAAACTAGCATAGTACAATGTACAAATGAATGGTAAAATTCAAGCTAATCATTTAAAATTTTATTTTTACTTAGAACAACATTAAATATTAAAACAAAAGCAACATAAGTCATTGCTTTATATTATAATGTAAATATAAAACAGTATATTAGCACCATTAATGACCTATTCTTCCTGATTCTTGAATAAGGAGCCCTGTATTAGCATTTTACACTAGACCCTACAAATTATGTAGTTGACTCTGGGTGCAGAAGCTAACTGAAGAAAAAAAGGGAAGAGATACAGGAAGGGGAAAGGTGAGAAATGTGTCTCTCATTTGACCCAAAAGAAAGTCAAATTAATGGAAGAGTAGAGGGTTTTGACGTCCATCCAATATTTGCCACCATGTCTTAAACCTGTTGGCCATCCTCCCACCCAAGCATTTCCTGGCACCCATCCACTAACTCAATTGATATGATTCTATATATTACCGAGGGATGATGTGCAAAGTAGAGCTTTCGTCCTTGAACAAGACAATATCTAAGTTTCCATCTCTTGACGGAGTTACAGTTCTTCAGCAGAGGTCCTTCTTTAAGTATTTTCTGAAAGACAGAAGCATAGGGATCAATTATATCAATTTGCAAGACCATATCATTTGTTCTCTCAGATGAGAAGATTAAATATCTTGAAGACTCTATCTCTGCTGCATAGGTGAGAAATGTCCTATAACCTATGTAGGAATACAATGAAGTTAGTATGACCAGAAAAGGGATTGGTTACCCTTGTGTAACACATTCAAGATGATATAAGCTTCAAGTTTCTCAGGGTACATGGCCTCCAATCCTTGGAGAATATCTCCATTTGTCACAATGAGTGGTGGTGTGAGGGAGAAATATGAGACATAAAGATAATATTCCTAGGAAAGTACAATGGTCAGGGAAAAAGGCTGAGTTCAGGTAAGGCAGAAATGCTCAACGTAGCAAGGCTGTAGCTCTTTTAGAGTGTTCCTTTTAGAATATTAAGTTGTATCACTCCCCTTCCCTGCTCAAAGCATTCAATACCTTCCCAATACTTTTAGAAACAAATATAAATTCTATAACAAGACCTTCAGAGTATTCATGGTCATACTCTATATGCAGAGTTATGAAAAATTGTGCTGTGAATGGATAAATATGAATGTAATGCACTCCACTATTGTCATGTATATAAGAAATAAATAAATAAACAAAAGCACACCAATATACAACTATTTTCTAATTACTTTCTTTACATATCTCATAATGTGATCATTGATTTTCCAGCTATGTGAAGAACATGCTGACCCCCATGAAGACATTCTCATGTATGTTGTAGGGTACAAACCATCATGCAAGACTGATATTTGGGAGAAGTACTCATCCCTACCAAGCTGGAACCAAACCTATACTTACTGGACAATAAGCCAGATAGTTTAAATCAACAAATTAAGGTTTGTGAATTCTTTCTATTATGTAAATTAGAATTCACTATTAAATGACTATAAACATATTTTATTGGCCTACTTAGTTTTTTTCAAAGGTTTTATTTAGTTGATAATATTTCAAAGGCAAAAGATTCCATATAAAAATCCATATTTACCATTTCTTAAAAAAAAAAACAGACTATCTACCAATGGTGGGATTATATTCTCACATGGAAAGAATCTGCTGGAACCATGTAGCAGCTTCTTCCTTCAAATAAGGTGCCTGATTCCAACAATTATTCATCTTTGATTGATTAAATGACTCTTTGCCACTCTCATTCTCTATCATATATGCTTCTATATATTCTATTCTCTAACCAGTAAGATAGTACTAATGGACAGAGTCTCTGTATCTCAACTGAAAAATGAGTTCATAAGCAATCACAATTTACCTGAGCCTTTTTGATAACTTATGAGTTTCAAGATTATTGTCCTACTCTTTTTTTAAAAAATATTTTTATTTTAAATATTTTTTAGGTGATGATGGACCTTTACTTTATTCATTTATTTTTATGTGGTGCTGGGAATTGAACCCAGTGCCTCACACATGTGAGGCAAGTGTTCTACCACTGAGCTACAACAACCGCAGCCCTGTTGTCCTACTCTTATATGAAAATGGGTGATACCAACGAGGAGTCAGAACAAAGAGAACAATAACATCTTGTGGGAAAGGGGGAGGTGGCATGGAGAATGAGATATTACACTTAAATAGTTGATACTGAGTCATCAATGAAAAAACAACTTTTGTCTAAGCATTAGCAATACATAGTTCCTTTCTTTTCTCTGTCCAGGTAGGCTATAGTGTATACTCTCAATCATAGCATTTGATTTTCTCTTCCCTAACCCTCTCTCCTATGCCATATCCTAAGCCTACCATACTAATCTTCATAATACTTGGGAAACATAAGAAGTGATATTTACCTCTTTCTATTAAAGACTTAAATTTTAAAATGGAACCGTTCCACTGGATGTGGTGGCACATACCCATAATCCCAGTAAGACAAGAGGGTAAGGCAGAAGGATGGCCAGTTGGAGGCCAGCCTAGGCAACTTAATGAGACCTGGTCTCAAACTTTAAAAAATCAAAAATAAAATATAAAGGGGCTTGGGATGTAGCTCAGTGGTAAAGCACCCCTGAGTTCAATTCCCAACACAACCAAAACAAAGAAAGAAAAAAAAAAAAGATCCATTAAATGTTAGGTAGACTCCTGTTTTCTCTTTAAAGAAAATTTGCTCTTCCAAATCCTATGAAACTGAAGCTACACCCATTATTTATGTCCTTTCTCCAAGCTGTTCAGCACTATCAAGTGTTAAATGTTGCCTTTAGTATTCTTAATTTTATCATATATGATGTCTCCTGTACTAGTTCATTTTATAGTCTTTGGCTAGACAATTTCCCTTCCCACATTTTCAGTTTAAAGCCTTATAGCACATACTGGCAGATATTTACACAATTACATTCTCTTCTCAAAAGCAATTCCCCCTTAAGGAACCCATTTTTGAAGTATTGCAAACCATGGACCAGTAAACTAAGATCTCGCATTTTGTAACCTGTGAATATGATAGCCCAAGAAAACTCAGATTTTAGTTAAGGTATTTGCCAAGTTCTTTCATGATATTACTATGAGCAAGACAGAAAAGTGATTATTTCCAAAGTTCCTATATTATCTGTCTCTAGACCATATCCCCTCTCCCAGCAAACCATCGTGAATGTCAATGATTATTCAGAGCCCACTTCAAATAAGCCAGGACCCACCTCAATTTAGAGGACCCCAGCCAAGCACCACCAGTCAGAGGACCAATAGAGATAATAGGAGTAAGATTTCTGTATCTCATTGTAAGTAAGTTTGAAATAGATTCTGATAAGATGTGTATTGTAAACCCTGAGCAACTACCAAGAAAATAAGTTTAAAATATTGTTGAACCATGATAAAACTATAAAATACCTCTGCATGCCTATTATAATGGCTAAAATTCAAAACACTGATATTACCAAATGTGCAATAACAAGAACTCTCATTCATTGCTTGTAGGAATACAAAATGGTACCATCAGTTAGAAGACAGTTTGGCAGTTTCTTTTAAAATCAAACATATGACCCTATAATTGCAGTCCTTAGTATTTACCCAAATGCTTTGAAAATTTATGTCCACACAAAAATCTGCACACAACTGCTTATTGATGCTTTATTCATAACTGTCAATTCAGGGTTTTTTTGGGTGTGAAGTTTGATAATTTTGAAATGTTAGCAACAAGTTAAGAGAGAAACTTTTGAAGCCTAAACAAAACATGTCTGCAAGCCATGGTTGGCTCGCAGGCAAGCAGTTTATACCTTCTGAACTATATAGCTACTGTCACGTCAAAGGAGGTTAAGAGTGAGTTCAAAGTTCATGTGAGACACATACTTATGAGATATATATTACCAAAATGGGAGCAGATAAGTAATGTGATTTATGTATAGTAGGGAGAAGGGTTAAAATGCCATAATGAATTTCTTTAAGTTCTAAACACAGGCTTTGTATTATCAACTCTGAACATCTAGAAACACCCAAGCCTAGAGAAAAAGTAAAGTACCACATTACTAAATTTCCTTCTTCTAAATTCTGACCTCCTTCAGGAAAGCTTACCTACTAACCCAACACTGTTTCTGGAAAGAAATTAAAAAAAAAAAAAACTTGTTTATTTCAAAACCCAATAGGCAGTCCCAGGAAACCAGTTTGAATAGGGAGAAGTCAAAAACCACTCAATCAATGGATTTTTTTCAAGCCAATAAAATACATGCATGAAAAACAACCTTTACCTGCTTGGGGCTACTAAACCAGACAAGGACCTAAGAGGAAAATTGCAAGCAAACGAGTCAACACATTCTGCAAATGGATGTGTTGGAAGGTAAACCCTTGCCTCTCCCTTAAGAGAACCCTGCACAATGCTTCCCAGTCCCTGGCCTCTTGCAGATAACATCTCATTGCCTCCTCAGCACAACTATTCAGAGTGTCATCTCCAATTTCCAGATGGCACATCTGAAGCTTGGGCATTTTCCGCTACTTTGTTTAAAGACCCGCAATTACAAAATGTGGTGGACTCTGTGCTTTCTCTCCCCATGACAAGGAAACTGGGAGTTCCTAGTTAATTAGTATGTATAGGACACAACACATAGCCCACCCAACCCCCCACCAAACTTTGTCCCCAAAGACAAGATTATAGATAGCATTAGGTTTTCTGTGAACAGCCTGAATACTCATTACTAGAATTGTTCATGAGTTTCCTTCCAAGAGGCAAATAGTAAGCCTTATTTTTCTAAAGACTTAATGTTCCATGATGAGCAAAAGGGGACTTCTCCTGCTTTTTAAAAATGATGTCCAAGATTGACCAGAACATTAAATAGAGTTCACATGGATGCAGCACTTTGCAATTAATAAAATGCTTTTATTTTCATTATGGAACCTTCCCAGCAGCCCTCTGAAGTAGGTAGTAAAAGGCATGTTTCTGACTCAGTTCTGTCCTATGAAAACCACCCTGATCTTGGTTTCTTTAAGTCACTTGCCCATATATTCCATCATCAAGGAACTTTAAAATTTCCCTCTCAAACAAGGTAGTCCATGTTTTCCCCCACACACACTTTTAAGACTTTCCAGCATCTTGGGGTTACAATATTTGTCAGAAAAATGCATTTCTAGTGCAGTTATAAAAGGCAATGAGGAATGGAACTCTATGGGAAACTTCTCAGGGCTACTAAACCACCTTTGCAGCCACAGAGCTATTGCATAAAATGGGGCATACTTATAATCTTCATGTCCAAGCTGCCATATTCCCGTTGCAAATATCTATGATGTGGCAGATACGGAAAAAATGAGGCAGGGCTGCAGGAACCTTAGATGTTCTGAAATGCCTTGGCCCCACCTGCAAAGCTTCTTAAACCAGAGCACACTGAGGGCAAATCTCCTAGCCTTTCCTGCCAGTTCTATCACACATTAAAACCCAAATAAAGTTGGTCACAGTGGTGCACACCTGTAATGCCAGTGACTCATGAGGCTGAGACCGGAGGATTGCAAGTTCAAGACCAGCCTCAGCACCTTAGTGAGACCCTAAGCAACTTAGCAAC